TTTTATCATTTTAAAGCGTATTGATATACTTTTGTGAACTGTTGTTTTTCGGGAAGTACAATTCATAGACTTCTGGTTATTCACTTCCTTTTTCGTCATATTACTCATTTTTATTTTATATTAAAAAAAATAATAAGATAGATTACAAAGTTGAACGTACTGTGACATTACTCGACATCTGAAAAGCACATGTTTTCAGGTGATTTGTAATGTCTAATTGCTTCCTCTTATTTAGTAAACACGTTATTTTTATCATTCATTCTACAAAGGTCAGGGCATATTTATATCAAACTAAATGTCTCAGTGTATTCTCATTATTAGTTGCAGTCAGAATGTCTGCAGTTATTACATTTGAACTCTTAGGGCCGCTGTTGACCATAATGTCCAAGAAGATGAAGGTTTATAGCAGCACCTCCTTTCTAATGTTGATGCAATACAAAAGGAGAACGAAGGGAGAGGAACGACCGTGCCATTTCCGAATCTTAAAAACGGACACCTTCTTTCTGAAGTGATATTTGTTCCAATGCCATGGATGATCACTTAAAATATGCTTGACTGGATGTACGATTAAGCTTTTCGGATAAAAATCCCAGGATTTTCTTTGAGACTAGAATGATGAGGAACGTAACGCTGTTCGTCTATCTGCTTTCCCTCGGCTTTGTGTTCGGACATGTCTCCTACACTATTCCGGAAGAAATGGCAAAAGGATCTTTAATCGGAAACATTGCTCGTGATTTAGGGTTACAAATGAAACGTCTGACTTCAGGTAAAGCACGATTATTTACCAGAGATAGCGACGAGTGCGTCGAACTAAGCAGAGAACGAGGGGTGCTCCTTGTGAAAAAGAGAATAGACAGAGAGGCGCTCTGCAAAAAGGCAACGCCATGTGCTTTGCATTTTCAGATCATTTTAGAAAATCCCATTGAATTTTATAATGTTGCAGTGCAAATCGAAGATATTAATGACAATGCACCAACATTTGAAAAACCTGAATTAGAATTTAAAATTAGTGAATCGGCGAATATTGGTGCAACATTTGCGTTAGAAAGAGCTGCAGACCCTGATGTTGGCATAAATGATCTTAAAAGCTACACTTTAAATCCAACAGACAATTTTGCCTTGAAGCTTAACAGTAACCCCGATGGTATTAAAAATGTAGAGATGGTGCTGCAAAAGCCTTTAGATAGAGAGAAACAAGATCAGATGAATCTGGTGTTAACCGCTATAGATGGAGGAGAGCCACAGATGTCAGGGACCATGCTGATTGCTATCAGGATTTTAGACGCTAATGATAATGCGCCCGTTTTTTCTGAGAAAATATACAAAGCTTCAGTCTCAGAAAATTCACCTGCTGGTACCATTGTTGCAGCAGTGTCTGCCTCAGATGCAGATGATGGTTCCAACAGTAAAATTAAATATTCAATCAGAAACACATTAGACGGTGTTAGAAAAATGTTTGAAGTAAATACGGAAAACGGCGAAGTTAAGTTAATTGGAAATGCAGATTTTGAAGAATCTAGAAATTATGAAATAGATTTACTAGCTACTGATGAAGGAGGACTCACGGGCTCTTGCAAATTGATAGTTGATGTCCAAGACACGAACGATAACAAACCGGAAATAAGAATTATGTCGCAATCCAGTGTCATATCAGAGGATTCCACTTTAAGAACTGTTGTAATTGTAATGAGCATCGACGACAAAGACTCGGGACAAAACGGGGAAACAAAATGTTTCATAAATGATGATGTACCATTTTCCTTGACATCGTCAAACAACAATTTTTATAGTTTAGTTACCGACAGTGAATTAGACAGAGAAAGGCACTCTGAGTACATCATTACAGTGATCTGCAATGACGAAGGAGTCCCCTCCCTCTCAAGCAGCGTCACCCTCTCTTTAAAGATCTCTGATGTTAATGACAACGCGCCTGTTTTTGAGAGGAGCTCATATGAAGCCCACATTGTCGAAAACAACAAACCAGGTCTCTCTATATTCTCAATAACAGCCACAGACGCTGATTGGAACCAGAATGCACGTGTTTCTTACATACTGGAGGACTCCTTTGTTAATGGGGTTCCAGTCTCCTCGTATGTGTCAGTCAGTGCTGACAGTGGGATCATCCATGCAGTGCGCTCTTTTGACTACGAACAAATCAAAGAATTCCAGTTCCTTGTTAAAGCACAAGATGGGGGCTCTCCTCCACTGAGCAGTAATGTCACAGTTAATATTCTTATTCAAGACCAAAATGATAACCCTCCACAGATTCTGTATCCAGTCCAGACCAGTGGCTCTCTGGTGGCTGAAATGGTGCCTCGTTCAGCAGATGTGGGCTACCTGGTGACTAAAGTGGTGGCTGTTGATGTGGACTCTGGACAGAACGCCTGGCTCTCCTATAAACTGCAGAAAGCTACAGACAGAGCGCTGTTTGAAGTGGGCTTACAGAATGGAGAAATAAGAACAATCCGTCAGGTGACTGATAAAGATGCTGTGAAACAGAGACTGACTGTTATAGTGGAGGACAACGGGCAGCCCTCTCGTTCAGCTACAGTCATTGTTAACGTGGCGGTGGCGGACAGCTTCCCTGAAGTGCTGTCAGAGTTCACTGAATTTTCACATGACAAGGAGTACAATGAAAACATAACATTTTACTTAGTGTTGGCTCTGGCTGTGGTGTCCTTCCTCTTCATTACATGTTTGGTGGTTATCATATCAGTGAAGATCTACAGATGGAGACAGTCCCGCATCTTGTATCACTCCAGCCTCCCTGTGATTCCTTATTATCCACCACGTTATTCAGACACTCTGGGATCTGGAACTTTACCACATGTGTACAATTATGAGGTGTGCAGAACAAATGACTCCAGAAAGAGTGACAATAAATCCGGAGGAGCTTACAGTCAAAACGTCTTGATAATGGATCCCAGTACTTCAGGGACGATGCAGCGGATGCAAAGTGAGAAGAGCATCCTGGATGAACCTGATTCTCCTTTAGAGGTTGGCATGCTTTAAATCTTTCTATGCAGTGCATTATCTTTCGAAAACGTATGTACTGGACAAATGAACCTAAATTATGATTCAAATATCTGGTCTTTCTTTGTAGTTCGTTAGAAATATGATTAGCTTGTAGAGAAAATGTACACATTCTAAAAATATTAAGTATTTTTTTTTTATCTGCCACTAATGGCTAACTAGCTAAGTGTTATTGGCTATTTAGCCAAACCAACCAACTAGCCTTGGCAATAAAAGAAACAATTTTGATTTTTCAAAACACAGTCACTGTGAATTACATATGTACTGTGCACAAACCTTTAAGTGATGACTTGCCATGCTGATGGTGATTTAGGAGCTCCACATGAGTGAACCAGTGGTGGGTAGAGCATGCAGCTTGGCACAGTCATGGGCATGGTATGTTACCTGGTGGAACATGTCTTTCCAGGTGATGAGTTTAAAGCACAAACATCCAGGTGCTGGGTCAGCTGGTGCATGTTAGGTTGAAGGATATAGAAAACATTTTTGGTGAGCCTCTGGGTTGCACAGGAAAATAACCAAAGTCTCATAAAAATAACCCAACTACTATAAAAATTACTTATTATGGCTGGACCATTACATAACCTAGCGTTTGAGTAGAAAATATAACCCATCGTTTTTATTAGAGTGAAGCTATGGGAACTCTTCCTACAAAAAAAATTAAAAAGATTTGAGAGAAAGAAAAGTAGAGAAACATTTTGAAATTTTTGCTTTAAATGTAAATGGTTTAATAATTGGAATGACAGAACATAGGTTAAGAAATGCTTAGTGGCGCGCAAAGTAACTTACCTATGTGTTTTGCATCATCTAGGCTTGTTCTGCCAAATAACAACCCTTTATAATGTTGTTCAAAGCACTTTGGATGATTTTAAATCAAATGCATTGGAATTCAGGGGTATGGGTAGTACACAGGGTAGATTGAGTAGCCAGTCTTCTCAAGTTCAGAACAATGGACAGCTCACGTTTTTTTCATACTGAACCACTGGAGCTTTCTTGTGGAGAACGGTATTTCCTGTTGTGGTACAGCTAGAGAAGCATCAGGCCTTGTTGCTGTTATTGTTTGTGTGTTTGTAT